TGTATGAGAGCACTATGCAAATGTAACAAATGCTAATTTGTGAATCTAAATGAGCAGCATATTCATTGTACTAGTCCTGTAACTGACCTAGTTTTGAAACTTTTTCAAAATAAAAATTGGGGAATAAAGTAATACCATATGTGCACACACACACATCCACAATGAAAAACTATTTTAAAGTCACCAGACTGGCAAAAAGTGGAAACAACCATTTGGCATCATGTAGAAAAACTGAAGATGAGCACATCCTAGGAAGCAGCAATCAGAAATACTGGACTAGAAAAACTCACAGATCATAAAGTAGGTACAGAAATGCTCACAGCTGTATGTTGTAAAAACATTATGTTGAAAGTCACCCAACTAGCCATCAACATGGGGTATTTTCCCAGAAATATCCTATGTGTGTACAGTACCCTACGTAAGTTACAGTAGTGAGAAATGAACAAACTACTGCCATATATAGTCCATAAACATAATGTTAAGGGAATGTTAAGGCAAATAAACACAGAAAGGCTCCTTTGAGATAAACCAAACACACACACACACACACACACACACACACACACACACACACATATATGCATGCACAAACATATATTTGGTACATTTATATTATAAAGGCAAAAGACAAGCAAGCTAAACCATGGTGTTTTAGAATACATACACATGTGGTTAAACAAAAAGAAAAGTTTAAAGAGAAACAAGGAAATGAAATTACAAAATTCCAGATAGTTGTTGCCCCTAGGAAGACAGAGGGGCCCCATGGAAGACTGGTAAGGCATTGGCAATTTCCTATTTTCAAAGGTAGATAGATGGTTTTCATATGTGTGGTCATTACATTATTGAATTTTAACCTTTAATAGAAAACAAAAAACCAAACCTTAGACCATACAATGACAGTATTTCTGGACACCCCTATCTTTGCTTCACAGTTTGAACAGAAGCCATTTTAGCTGAAGCAAATGAAATCTCTTAAATGACCAATGACTGAAACGAAAGACTGAAAGACATTCTCATCCAAACTATTGGTAGAAGACATAGGTCAAACATTTAGAATCAGTTAGAAGGGAAGTGGCTGAGCAACATAATGCCAGACTTGTTTTGGGGTACTTGAGAGTACTATGATCACATGGGAAATAATACAATTAAGAACTGAAACATCATTCATAATATTTAAAATTTTAGGGCCCTGTTTTAAACATAATGTCCATAAGCTTCTTTGCATATAACCCAAGGGATGTATATCTGTTATATCATTAGAGTAATAAACAATTATAAATTAGAAAATACTTCATTGAGACTATAATTAAACCTGAAAACTAACTTCCAAACAAGCCAAGAAACAAAACAAAAGTCCCCCCTCATGAAGTGTCCCCTAACTCCCTTCAAAGAGCCTTTCCTCTGGCACTTTATCATGTTTTGCCTTGTATTTTGGTTGTACACTTTATCTCTTTTACTAGATTATATATATATATATATATATATACACACACATACATACACTTTTAAATTACTTGATATTCTATGAAGAAAATGTACTCTGCCCAGGGCCTCCAAATATTCCTGTGCCAGGGGAATTTGAATCTTTGTTCTCATTAACAAAACAAAAAAGCCATGAAATCTATGAAACCCAACAAGGCACTGGGGGTGGGGATATGTCACCAAACCCCAAAAGTACTTCCTTATCAAATAATTTCTGAAACCTACGTATATCGATTCTTAGGGCTTTCTGATATTTTTCATTTCAAACTTGTAAATGTTTAACAAGCCATTCAACATAAATTTTATTGCCTTCTACTGAGAACAAACAGCTTTCAGGAAAATTATGCCTTCAGGGTAAACAAATAGGACAACATTTTAAGTTCTCATAGACTCTGAAGAGGACAAAGGTAGAAAAGACTGGAAAGAAAAAAATGCACACCAATCTTGAGCTAATTAGAAATCTTTACCACCCCACTCCCAGCAGACTTGCATAGAAATCTGAGTAGCATTAATCACCACATAATGCTGGCCTGTTTAATTTGTGTTCCAACCACAATCCTGCCAGCACTGGCTGAATTCTCCCAGCAGTCAGAGAAAGCTGCTTGCAAGATGCCCTCACTTTAGCCTTGATGTGCGTGCACAGCTGCAAGCACTACAGTGAGTGAGGCTTAGAGGCTCCTGGGGGATCCCCTCTGGCTTTGGTGTGTCATAGTCTGCAGTCACACCACAGCCAGCACTAGGAATTGAGACTGATTTAGTCTCACTTTCCACATTTCTTTCTAGGGCTGTGGATAGTTTTCCTGATATTTTATTCCCTTTCCCATAAAAATATCTGGTGTGGACTTGTTAATGAATTTTTTTTAAATAGGAAAGAAAGTATCCAAAGAAAATGTCAGAGAAATGAAAATAAAACTGTGTTTATTTTTTAAAAGGGATTGCCAGAGTACACTTGATACTAATATAGAACTTCCTACTCGAGAGCTAGCTTAAAAAAGGCTCAAGAAGGCCTCATTCCTTTAGAAACCACCAATGTAAAAATTAATCTTGGGATTTCATTTGGCTGAGTGTGTGTCCAGTGACTCAGGAGGCTGAGGCAGAAGGATCACAAGTTCAAAGCCAGCCTCAGTAACTCAATGAGGCCCCAAGCAATAGCAAGATCCAGTTTCAAAATAAAAGGTCTGGAGATGTAGCTCAGTAGCTGAGCGCCCCTGGGTTCAATCTGATACCAAAACAAACATAAATTAAAATAAAAATAAAAGGGAATAGGGATGTAGCTGAGTGGTTAAGTACACCTGGGTTCAACCCACAGTTCAAAAAAAAGGGGGGGATGGGAGAGACTCATTCTTTTATAAACTACCAGTGTAAAAATTAATCTTAATTAATCTTAAGACTTCACTGGGCTGGGTATGGTGATGTACACCTGTAATCCCAATGACTCCGGAGGCTGAAGCAGGAGGATGGCAAGTTTGAGGTCAGCTTCAGCAATTTAGCAAGGCCCTAGGCAACTTAGTGAAACCCTGTCTCAAAATAAAAAGGGCTGAGGATATTGGCTCTGTGGTTAAGTGCCTCTGGGTTCAATCCCTGCTACCAAAAAAAAAAAAAAAGTTCACTGGAAGATGATTTATGTATACAATGAATGCTGTAATTTACTTTTATTTGTATATGTGTATGTGTATGTGTATGTGAACCCAGGAGTGTTCTGCCTCTGAGTTATATCTCCAGTCCTTTTTTTTATTATTATTATTTTATTTTGAGACCGGGTCTCAATAAATTGCCCAGGCTGGCCTTGAACTTGTGATCCTCTGCCTTAGCCTCTCAAGTAGCTAGGATTATAGGTGTATGCCACTGAGCTTACTCTATAATTTGCTCTGTAATGTTACTTTGCACGTTCTAGCTCAAAATTCTGAATTTTGAGACAGCTGGCTAGGGATTCAATCTTTGCACATGTTAAACATGTGCTTTTATCACTGATCTACACCCCCATGCCACTTATATATATATACATATATACTTTTTTTGTTTTCTTTCTTCAGTGCTGGGGATCAAACTCAGGGCCTCGTGGTAGGCAAGTACTCTACTACTGAACTACACTCCTAGTCCCATATATTTTTAAGAGTATTTTCATTTCAAATCATTGGAATCTAAATGAATTTTCTTTAATCTAAGATGCAGAAGATATGTTAATAAAAGAACCCTAATTCTGGGCTGGGGAGGTGGCTAAATAGTAGAGCACTTGCCTAGCATATGTCAAGCACTGGGTTCGATGCTGAGCATCACATAAAAATAAAAGTATTGTGTCCATCTACAACCAAAAACTATTTTTAAAAAAGAACCCTAATTCTGCTAGGTATGGTGGTGCAGGCCTATAATCCCAGTTACTTGGGAGGCTGAGGCAGGAAAACTGTAAATTTGAGGCTGCCATGGGCAATTCAGCAAGACTCTGTTATCAAAACAAATATTTAAAAAGAGATGGTGAGGTAGCTTAGTGGTAGAGCACTTCCCTAGCCAACATGAAGCCCTGGGTTCCATCCCCAGTACTGCAAAAAAAAAAAAAAAAAAAAAGAAAGAAAAAAGAAAAGAAAGAACCCTAATTCTCCCTTAGCTGGCTAGCTGTGCCTCTGAATGCTTAGAGGAAACATGATACCTTGTTATGTACTCATTCTTCTTTAACAGGAAAAAGGGAGAACATACTAGCAAACACAGGCAACATTCTAGCTATGTAACTGCTAGGAGAGATGAGAGGTAACATATCCTTATGATTATACAACCCTTCCTTCTGCTGTTCATCTACCAGATGGCACAAAGAATGTGGCCTGTAGCTGGTGGCTAGTCCCTAACACACCAAGGCTCACACCCTTAGCTGGGTGATGAAAGACACAGTACGGACAAAGGAAAGAACAGAGTTTATGATAAGTTAAAAAAAAAAGGCGGGGATTTCAATTATGTCTTTTTGGGGAGCACAGTATATTCCCTTTGAATTGACTTTTTTTTTCAAATTATTTTTTCTTTTTTTTTTTTCTTCAGTACTATGGATTGAAACTAGGGCCTCACACATGCTAGGCAAGATTCTATTACTTGGCTAAATCCCTAGCTTTTTAAGATTTTATTTTAAGACAGGGTCTCATTAAATTACCCAAGCAGGCCTCAAACTCAAGATCCTTCTGCCTCAGCCTCCTGAAATTAAAGGTATGTATCACAATGAAGCTCTGAATCCAATTTTGATAAGACTTTAGGATAAGGTGCTACACTTTGAGCAACAATAAATAGATTAGAGTGGAAATTAGGGTCTAAGGCTGCAGTGGAATGCATTTTATGGTCACCATTGATTTGGTCCTGCTGATAATAACTAAGTGCTCAGAAATTGTATTGCTTCTCCACTAAAAAGTCCGAGCTGAAGATACAACTAAAAACAAACAGAAAAAGCAAGTAAAACAAAAGGGTTATCAAGTATTTTACAAAACCATAGAGAAACCACATATTTAAACCAAAAGAAAGATAATAAAAATGATGTTTCTCACCTTCTGAAAGTTCTCCTTCCACAAATCTTCTATGACTATGTATCCTCGTAAACCCCAGTCATATAACTTCTCTCCAGTGACCTTGAAATGAAATGGAAAAGATCTGTTGCTATTCCATACATAACTGGCGAGGAAGAGAATTCCCTGTTTTCAGGAAGAACTGCATTTAAGCACATGACCACTACAGAAAGTCTTAGAACATACACATTAAAACTGAGTAACATAAGCAAGTAAAGAGTAAGAATGAAAAAATAAAAACAAAGAAATAAGAGGAAAAAATTAAAACAAAAAGGTAAGAATGATAGCATAGGAAGAAAAGTAGTCTGGGGCTGGGGTTGTGGCTCAGTGTTAGAGGCCTTGCCTGGCATGTGTTGAGGCCCTGGGTTTGATCCTCAGCACTACATAAAAATAAATAAATAAAACAAAGTTATTGTGTCCATCTACAACTAAAAATAAAAATAAAAAAAAGAAAAATAGTCTGGTTGTATAAGTTATCTTTTAAAATAATTTGCTATAAATTGCAGGTATATATATTTTTGTGATACTAGGAATGGAACTCAGGGCCTCATGCATGTGAGGTAAGTACACTACCACTGAGTCACATCCCAGCCCACAAAATGAATATATCCTAAACTTTTGAAACTTCAGAGAAAAAAATAAGAGACCACTGTTAATATTGAAAATTTCTGAAAATCGCATGCAAAAAGGTGTCTATGTATCCCATCTAGCACCCTGCCTAGTACATTACAACCAAACAAGTCACCAAACATATTTGCAACACAAAGTTGATCACTGTAACCATTTTTATGTGTACAATTCAGTGACAGTAAGTTTATGTGCAATGTTGTGCAACCACAACCAATCTCCATTTCCAGAATATTTTCATCATTCCAACAGATCCATAATTTTTTAAAAAAAAATTTATTAGGTGTTGATGGACCTTTATTTTATTTATTTTTAAGTGGTGCTGAGGATCAAACCCAGTGCCTCACACATGCTAGGCAAGCGCTCTACCACTGAGCCACAACCCCAGCCCCATAAAGTTTTATATCTAGTGAAAATAAAGTTAATATTAAAAAATTTTTAAAGAATATTGTGACTTATTTTTACTTATTTATTTGTGGTGCTGATAATTGAGCCCAGAGCCTTGGGCATGTGAGGCAAGCACTCTACCAATTGAGGTATATTCCCAACCCAAATTAATTGTTTTGTTCAGGTTCATTTTAGGTACAAAAAAAAAAAGACAAAACTACTTCCCACTGACTTTAAAAATAATAAGAATCAACTCAGATTTACATCCTACTATCTTGGTTGTAAACATAAAAGATGTTTTGCAACATGCTGTGACACATCAAGACAAAAAAAAGACCTCCACTCTGGGGGCAGCTATATCTACTTCTCAATCAGCAGCCCAGCCTCTTTCCTCAACCCAGCCATTTACTATTTAAATCATAATAGACTGAGATGATGTTTAATCATTCTTTTAAATCTAAGGCAATCAGAAGTCACTCCCTGTTCCTGAGCTGGGACTGGAGCAGGGGCAAGAACATTATCTACTGCCTCCAGGACCTTATAAACAATATCAAACCTATGCTTACTGGCCCTTCCAAAGCCATCAATTTTTCACAGTTGGGGGCCACTGGAATCCCACCTACAACTACAGTCCCATCCAGGAATTTGTCATGCAGAATCCAGGGAGTTCATTATCAACCTATCTAGCCCAGAGCCTAATACTGGTGACTGCACTATTGTCCTCTTCTGGGACTTAGTCTCCTTGTGATATGGCAGTTCTGGCAACTGGGTCCCTATCTCCATAATCTGTTCAGGACCTAAAAACCTACAGCCTGCTTTACTCTTACCAGTTTTCCTAGGGACTCCTATGTTTAGAATTCCATTCTCTGAACAATACCTCCTAAGCCTGGCCTTTATCCTCAGAGTGTCTGATTCAGTTCATCTGTGTTGGGGCCTGAGAATCTCCATCTCTATCAAATTCCCAGGGGATGCTAATGCTGCTGGTCCAGGAACCACCCTTGGAGAGTGGTTTAGTTTACCCATGTTGTCTACCACTGTGATCTACCTCCTTCTAGGATACAGTCAAGCTGAGGTGTGAAGGACAAGAAAGGAGCAACAGCAAAAGGGACCACATGGCCTCAAGTCCCCAGTGAGAAAATTGAGGCTGGCACTAGGGAGATATGGAGGCCAAAGTACAGCCTGTGCCTGCAAGTCTATTGAAGAGAGGTTATGACCAGACACATCTGAACCAAGTGACCCATAATTATCAATTTAGAATGGGTCTTTAGACTTCTGTGTAAGTATACAGAAATATTGCCTTACATTTTCTTGGCTTAATGTTTAAATTAGCATGCATTATTTGAATACTGGCATCATAGATGGAGAGCCAGTGCTGAGGCACGCAATGGAGAAAAACATTTCAATTTGTTGTAGTTCATCTATACGTGCAGCCAAATTTTAATCTGGTGTTTTTGTAACCACAAAATAAAAAAAAATTAAGCAGCAAATCCATATATCACACACAAGAATGAAGGAATCCTAACTTACTGGGTCTATCTCACCTGAGCAAATGCAATGGCTTGTTGTGGGTAATAGATAGAGGCAGCTAATCCCATGAAAGCAGGTGGATACACAAGCTTCTTTATTTTTGAACCTAATAAACAAAAGGTTGTACACACCATCAGATGATTCATTATCTGTCTCACCATTACAATTTACCTTATACATTTAATACTGAACAAGATTGCTTTGACAGAGAATGCATTTAGTAACAGTACTTACATGCCCTTTCCCACAGCTTTATTAGAATTCACAAAATTGACCCATTTAAAGTTCAAAACTTAATGGCTTTTAGTATGTTCACAGAGTTGCATAATCATCATCAAAAACAATTTTATTATCCTCAAAAGAAACTCATACCTTTGGGCTGGGGGTGTAGCTCAGTGGTACAGCATGTGCTAGGCATGTGGGAGACCCTGGGTTCCAGAAAGAAGGGAAGGAAGGAGAAAGGAAAGGAGGGAGGGAGAAATGGAAGGCAAAGAAAGAAGAAGAAAAGGAAGAGGAGAGAGGGAGAAAAAGGGAAGGTAGAAGGTAAGGATGAGGGGTGGGGGGAGAGAGAAAGAAAGAGAAAGAGAAACCCACCAATATCCATTGGCAGCCACTTCCCAATTCCCCTCCCCCCCTCACCAGCCCTAGGCCACCAATAATCTACTTTCTATATCTATGGATTTGCCTACTCTGAATATTTCATATAAATGGAATCATATGTTCCTTTGTCATTGGCTTCTACCACTCAGCAAATGTTTTCAAGAGAACCACCATTTCTAAGGAAGCAGAAAAACATTATTTTGAAATCAAACAAACAAATCAGAATTCTGGTTTCTAAGGTTTATGTTTTTCTAACAGCAAACTGGCTTCCTATTTAAATAATAAACACAATTGTTCCCTTCCTCTTCTTCCTGAGACTTCATTAAAATAACAGTAAAAGAATAAAACACAAATTTAAAAATCCATCATGAAAAAATGTGTGGAGAGGCCACTGGCAGAAAAGAAGAATCAACTGGGGGTGTAGATCAATGGTACAGCACTTGCCTATCACAGGCAAAGGCCCAGGTTCCATCCCCAGCACTGCAAAAGAAAAAAGTGTTAACCAATTTTCAGAAACTGAAGAGTGAAGAGAAGTAGCCTTAAAGTCTTGAAGAAGGGTTATAGCTAAAGAGGGAGCAGACCTGTCCCAGGCAGAGATGGCATGTACTATGGAGAGTGGAAGTGACACCCAAGAATCAAGACAGGGGACAAGTGCAAGTCTTATACATGGACAAATTGACCCCTTCCTTTCCCTATGCGATCCCAGTGCAAAACTGCCCATGGCCAGGAATTCAAGCCAGGCCAAATTTTTAAAGCGGGGCAGGGTATTACTAAAGAAATGCCAGGGTTTTTCTACTAACAACCAAGATAGTTGTGTGTGTGTGTGTGTGCACACAGTTAGTGCTTGAGAGTAAAGCCCTTCTAAAACTGATCCTGAGTCCAGTCCAGCTCACCCTGAGGCAGAAGTGTCTGTCAGCAAGCCCCATCTAACACAAAAGCATGCTTACTAGCATTTCAATTGCCCCATTCTGAAACCTGACCTGACAACCAAGGATCACCAATTGTTGGAGGAAAGCCTAGAACCTAAGACAAGCAAGGAAAAAAAACCCCAAGGGAAATAGAACTTCAAAACAAAACTAGACCTGTTATTAAGTATCATCAAATAAATTCAAGAAGCAACTACATTAAAAGAAAAAAGAATTCTATGAAAAAAAAGGAACATTCAGGGAATAAGAAAGAGTTCAAGGAAAGGAACAGAGTAAAAAAAAATCTAAAAGGAATGAAACAAAACAATCAAGAAAATATTAAGATATATAGGGTCATTTTTAAACAACTCAACTGCTAATTAATAGAAGTGCAGCAAATTTTCAAAGATGTGCCATACAGATATCATCCTTTAGCTGAAGGCTGGGAGCCACCCAATGTCCAATCAAGGGAAGAAAACATCTATATAGTCACAGAAACCATAGAAATTCAGAAAACAAAAGATTTTAAAAGATCCTTAAAAGTTCGAGGAGGGAAAACAAAGAATGACTTCAGAAGGAACAGGTCTGGCTACTGACTCTCCCATCTATATGCCAGATGCTACAAGACCCAGTTTTCAAAGTTTTAGTGGAAAACAAATGATCACTATCTAAACTATCACTTGGTATAAGGGCAGACATGCAAGGTCTTGGAAAGTTTGTCTCCCATATATTTTTAAAGAGACTCTTTTTTAAAAGAAATTTAAGCATATAGTTGAACAACATGGCAAAATAAACCAAGGAGAAGATAAACCAGAAGATAAGAACAGGGGGCTCAAGCCCAAGAGAGCATACAGGAAGTCCTAAAACAACAGCTGTGTTGAAGTCTGAGGTCAGGCTGCAGAGGATGAAGAGCTATGGAGAAAAGAGGAACTGATAAACAACAGGATGCTGAATTTGGAGAAACCTGAGAATGAGGTAAAAACAAAAAGTGGCAGAGGGTGAAAAAGGAGAATGCAGGTGGACTTAACATTAGAAACAGTCACTGAGGGCTGTGGTTGTAGGTCAGTAGCAGAGCGCTTGACTAGAATGTGTGAAGCACTATATTCAATCCTCAGCACCACATAAAAATGATCAAACAAAATAAATGTATTTTGTCCATCTACAACTGTGTGTGTGTGTGTGTGTGTGTGTGTATGTGTGTGTATATGTACGAAAAAATTAAAAAAAAAAGAAGTAGTCTCCACTGAGAGGCATGGTGTTTTTGATGGATACACGTTAGGGCAATGTGTATTAATAATGTACAACTCTACCAATGCAAGTGCTGCTTATTAATTTTATACTTTATTTTTCTTAAAAAAAAAGTTTTGTGGGGCTAGGTTTTCAACCCAGGGCCTCAGGCATGCTAGGCAAGCACTCTACCACTGAGCTACACTCCAAGCCCCTGGTTTTAAACTTTAAACAGATAAATATTCAAAGATAAAACTGGGGCTATTGAGAATATCAGTATTATCAACTAGACTATTAATAAATTAATGTTTCGGGGCTGGGGTTGTGGTTCAGTGGTAGAGCGCTTGCCTCACACGTGTGAGGCACTGGGTTCGATCCTCAACACCACATATAAATAAATAAATAAACAAAATAAAAGTATTGTGTTCATCTACAACTAAAAAATATATATTAAAAAATAATGTTTCTCTCCAAGTCCTATTGCCTGGGTTAAAAGGATATAATTATCCTGGAACAGAAAAATCTGTTATTCCTCAGGTCTTCCCTGTCCACTTGGAGCTTTATGCCCAAGCAGGTGAGGACCAGCTGAAGAGACCAGCAAAACTAACAACATTCATTTTTTACTTCTCTAGGGAAAGCTGATAAGCAGCAGCTCTTGGGTTTTTGGGCCCTGCTGGTCTACACAATGAGCTGGAAGGTCCACACACACACACACCTTAGGAAGGAGGTATGACTGCATGCCCGCATGCCCACCTTCATGCTCACCCCTCCCAAAAAGCCAGTGGTGTAGGCAGTGAGTATCAGCGTTGTGAGAGGACAATCACTCACTGGCTGTCAGTGAGGGGAAGAGCCACCAGAAGGCACAGCTCCCACTCTGGGAACACTGTGTCACCATTATAGTCACAGGCCTCCTCATTAACTTAGGCACACTACTTAGCAGGTGTGCTCAAGAAACCCTACCAGGAGGGACTTCTGAGCCCATCCTGCTGCTGCATAGAGGATTATCTCCCTGGAGGGGCCTGAAAACCACACTTGTCTCCCATAAATGAGTCTACCATCCCATTTATCTTGCTCAGTGAACCCCTCTGATGCTGATTTTCACCTCAGGCCCTTCTAAATGGCCATGAAAAAAAATTTACTATCACCTGTGAGTGCATGAATGTGTGCACGCACACATGCATGTGCCTATGTGGACATTTTTTTTAAAAAAGAATTAAAGTTTCAAATTATTTTAATGCTACCAGGCCCTCCCAGGAAGGGATAAAGAAAGCTAGGAACAAATAAGCAAACAAACACAAAGGGATAGGACCCGTGGTAGCAGGTACACTCTGCCCAGGAGAGTGCAGTCTCCAACCCTCCTCAGGATGGTCACCCTAGAGGATATCCGACAAACACCTAATAGGAGAGGAAGTTACCCATAGCACTGAAAGCTTTCTTTGGGCTTGAAAGACTCCCCCACATGCTCAAACAACAGAGAGGGAGGTAGAAGCTTATCTCACTGGATTCCAACATTCCAGTCATAGCCACAATTCCAATACCCCAGGCCTTGGGATGTTTATAAATCCCAAGCACTATTTAAATGACAATGGAATCCTTTTCTGAACAGCTTTGCAGGAAATAAGGGGAAAGATGTATGAAAAATAGTGTTGCTTTGCAAATTGATTACTAAAAAAAAAGAAATGGAAATTTAATTCTCATTGCTTAGTACAAGATGAGAGATAGGCAAGGAGACCAAGACACAGTTCATTCAGCAGGTGAATTGGGAGTAGCACTAGGGCTGCATTTGCGCTCCAGATTCCAAAATAACACTTAATGCATCAAGAAGAAAGAGTTCTAAAACTGGTGAAATAGGTATCAAACTATGGTTCTGTTTTAGGGGGGTCAGATTACAGGGTTCTTTATAGGAATTTCTCTTTAAGAATTTAGGTTTGAAGCTCAGTTGTAGAGCGCTTGCCTTGCACGTGCAAGGCACTGGGTTCGATCCTCAGTATCACATAAATGTAAAATAAAGATATTGCGTACACCTAAAACTAATAAATAAATATTTATTTTTTTAAAAAAGAATTCCTGTAACTGGAGCTGGGGTTGTGGTTCAGTGGTAGAGTGCTTGCCTAGTATGTGTGAGGCACTGGGTTCGATTCTCAGTACCACATATAAATAAATAAAGGTCCATTGACAACTAAAAAAATATTTAAAAAGAAAAAGAATTCTTTAACTGAATTTTATATCATAAGCATTCATTTTAGAGTCAGCAAAACTTCAAGAAGTTCACAAAAACTTAAACTCATCATAGTAAAGTCTTTTATCATCCTTTATTTTTTATAAATGTTCTGTAATCTAACAGTGAGTGTAATGTTATTTTGGGGTTGGTGGTGCTGGGGATTCACCCAGGGCCTCATATATGCTAGGCAAGTGCTATATCACTGAGCAATACCTTCAGTACCTACATAATATATTTAAGTTGACATTTGTTAGCTTTTTTTTTTTTTTTTTTTGACATGGGGTCCTGCTAAGTTGCCAGTGCTGGCCTTCAACTTCTGATCCTCCTGCCTCAGCCTCCGGAGTAGCTGAGATTACAGGCCACTAAACCCAGCTTTAATTTTAAGCATTTTAAAAATTTTTACATCACTACTGACTGAAGCCATGACACATCAAAAAGTTAATAAGTTAAGTTAGTTACTGTGATTAATAGCCTGACCATAACAGTGAAACATTTAGAAACTGTGTATTTCTCAGGTATGAAAGACTGAACAAAAATTCACTCTAGCCAGGCATAGTGGCGCATGCCTATAATCCTAGAAACTCCAGGGACTGGGGCAGAAGGATCCCGACATCAAAGCCAGCCTCAGCAAAAAGCGAGGCACTGAACAGCTCAGTGAGACTCTGTCTCTAAATAAAATATAAAATAGGGCTGGGGATGTAGCTCAGTGGTCGAGTACCCCTGAGTTCAATCCCCAATGCCAAAATAATAATAATAATAATAATAATAATAATAATAATTCACTCTGTACCTAAGAGCAGTATTGAACAGTAAATGTACTTATAAGAAAAAACTAATTTCTTTTCTACAAAGAGTACAAAATTTCTATATATGCTTAAACAGAATGGAGTAAACGACTATATTAATTACATATTAAGAAGTCAATGTTCAGGAACCAACTCATTATTCTGAAAACTGTTCATTGAAAGTAAAGAACCAAACATACCCTATCTTTCCCACAAGAACTGATTGTTCAAAAAAAAAAAAAAAACCCACAAAATTGCACCCACCTCTAGTGAAAAGGAGTCCAACAAGGCCAGCAAAACCAATAACACCAAGTCTTGGAAAAAATCCAGGAGGTGCATTTTGGAGATATTCATAGCTATCTATAATAAAATCAGATTGGAAAAAAATCATAAATTACTCATTAAAAACCAAAGTCTTACATACAAGTAGTACATACAGTATCAAATGATTTTCAAACCACATATTGTTTGTATGCTGCTAATAAACTTTTTATATTCTTTCAAGAACCAAATATATAAGCCTAGGAAAAATAAGTATCCTTTGCCATCTGAACTCATTATTTGAACTAAAGAACAATAAATTTGGATAATAAATGAAACTTGTGGGAAGTAGCCAGCTGTTGGTGGTGACAGAATAAAAAAAAATAAACATAACACATAAGCCTATTCACCATGCCTTGTGACTCCATTCACATAATGCATCCTCTCCTCTCCCCTTCAATGAGCCAATCTCACCCAGATAAGACCTAGCTTGGGCCCTATTGCCTCAGAAAAGTGTTTTCTAAGTTCATGAGCCCAGACCTTTTGTCTTCATTGGGAATCACATATTTATTCTCTATACCATCACTTGGTACCTAACTCTATAGCACATTGCACTTAACTATTCAGATGTGTGTTTCCTGTCTCCCATCTGAATAGTTAAGTGCAGTGTGCTATAGAGTTGGAGAATATAAGCTCCTAAATGGTGGATTTGTGATACTTGTTACATGTTATCTTCCCTCAGTGTTAACAGCAGATAGTCATTCCACAGACATTTATTAAGAACACTGACAGGAGTTGAGAAATACTGGATGAATTAACAAATGAATTCCAGCTAGGTCATGACTTACAAAGCCCTCCTATATCTCTCACAGCCTCATCTTCAGCACTCTCTATCTCCTTATAGTCCCACCTCCAAGTTTTGATCACACTGTGTCTGCAACACCCACGTGTTGGTGTGGCTAACACTGGTCCTTGAGGATTCATCTTAAAAATCCTTCCCCTCACTGCTCCCAACTCCCCAATCACTATTCAACTAGTCGCCTTCCTCTGTACCTTCAATAGTGGTCTGTAATTATTTCTGTATTTGCATTAGTATTGAACAATTTATTATATGTATCTTACTGGTTGTGACCACTTTCTTAATCAATTTTGATCTTCAATGACTGGCATGATGTGACTTGACAAACATATGCTGAACTGAACCAATAAGCTAGAATACTGAGTAAATCTCTCCCCCAGAAAACACCATATACTTAAAATTTTCCTTTCATGATTCTTTGGGAGATGTGATAATCATTTTAAACACTATTACAGGGCTTGTGTTATACATTTGCATTAACTTCTACCTGGTTAAAATTTTTACTTATTTTGTCTTCAATCTAGTCTTGACTTTCTATCCTCTCAACTTGGTCTTCTGAGGCAATTTTCTACTTCCCTTGATTTTTGCCTACCAGCATAGTGTTGTTTAATTCTAGACATACACATAAGAACAGTTGACAGGAGGAGACCCAGATGGCTTTTTGTGAGCTGAGCAGAAGTAGGTAAATTACAAAGAAATAGGGAAAATGATGTTTTAAGATTGCACTTGAAGCCAGAGCCCAGCTTCTGGTAACATGCCTTCATTGTAGCTTCTAGAAAATGGTCTGAGAGCTTTGGCAGATAATAACTCATAATGGAATGTTCCTGCTTTAGAGATTTTGCAGTAACTGAGTCCAGGAAAAGAAAAAACAAAACAAATACTGTAATGAATGAAAAGGCTTCTTCAGTCCCATGGTTTTTTGTTTTTTTGTTCCATCATGAAAACACATCCTTTTAAAAACAAGATTTTGATTCACCAAGATGCACAATGAGGGAAATGAAATATTATCAGTCTCTGTTTTACCAGTTCCTGACATTAGTCAGAATGTAGACTGTGAGCTCAGTTTATGAGTACAGGTAGGTGATAAGTGGCCTATATATGAGAAACAATCAAGGACAATGAAAAAAATGTAGGAACACTACTAATTATGCAATAAGACCTTTCCCAGGCACAGCAGCTCAGTTCCTTCCTGCCTCTAAACTTCTATAGCATGTAATAATAGCAATGTAAGTTAACTACTTTGATTCTAGCAATCTACTGATGAGTTAGTGTGCTATACTACATTGTACCTGGAAATCCATTTTGTTAAAAACACAGTGTATCTGCACTTGCTACCCCTATAATCTTAATAATGTTGAAGAAACTTAGGGGATATGAGCCCCCTGAAATCTGGATGAAAAGAACAGATTTTCTTTCTAGAAAAATTCACACAGTTCTAAAATTCTGCGTAAGATTTAAACAAATCCATATATCTCTAGATTCCATTCATAGAACTCCAGTTAAACAGTTCAATGTTATTGAAGTAACTGATTATGCCTAATAACAAAATGACTTACCTAGCCCCCATTGAACCAAACTTTGCATCTTGGGCTTAGTTTTGGAGTATGTTTCCTAAAAAAGTAAAAAGGAACAGAATGAGTAGAATTTGCTGATTATAAAGTAACAAAATATATATACTTTACTGAACATTTTTATTTTTGATGCAGGAAACTGAATCCAAGGCCCTGGGAGAGAGCTAAGAACATGCTCTACCACTGAGCTACACTCCTAGCTATTAACAGATTTTGTATAAAGAGATACTTTCTGGGTTCTTTTTCTTTTTTTTTTTTTTTTGTAATTTTCCCTTCACTGCAAACTGCTTAGCAGAATGATTTCCTATTGCCACAGGGGCAAAGATTCCAACTACAGTGCTTTTAACAACCCAGCCTTCTTACTCTTCTCCTAAAATGGAAAAAAAAATAGACTAAAGATCAATCCCCTTGATAATTTAGAGGCAATCCTTTTCCTATGAAATTAAATTTGTGTTTCATATTGTCTATTTCCTGATTTTGCCATTATTTTATAGCTTATATCTGGAAAGTACCCATTTGAAGCAGAAAATGACCAGCTTTAATGAGACAAAGGATCAAATGACTCAGTTTGGAGTGATATCCCAAGAGGCTGAGGTGGGAGGATCCTTAAGTCCAGAAGTTTGAGAGGAGCCTGGGCAATATTGAGATTCCATCTCAAAAAAGTTAAAAAAGAAAAAAAGAAAAGCTTTGTATATGAACATCAGATGATCCTAAAGGAAATCAGGGACTAGCTAGAAGATACCCACCTTCAAGACCTCTACAGCAAAGATGGAAAAGGAGATATTAGGGTATTAGAAGAATCAGAACTGCCATTTAGAAAAGGATTTGTTTTAGATAATTCAGTTCAAGCCAGAAAAAAGTTACTCTCATTTTTAAATGGCCTTAAGTAACAAATGCTGAATTTGGGGGAAGACACAAAGAAATGAATATTTCTTCAGTAAAATCCATTATAGGTTTCTTTTCCACCCATTAAAGAGAAAGAAAACCTACAGGTTGAAATACAGTGTGACAATCCACTTCTTTTGCTAGCTTAATATTTTACTATTGGGGCTGGGTTGTAGCTCAGTGGTAGAGTGCTTGCCTAGCATGTGTGAGGCACTGGGTTCGATCCCCAGTACCACATTAAAAAATATTTTAAAAACAAATAAAATAAAGGTAAAAAATATTTTACTATTAAAACAAATTAGATTTTCAAGGAAGGACTAGAAATTGGTGGTCTGAAAAAGAAACCAGGAATTAGAAATATTTCCATTCATGAAAACTTCATTCCACCCAGGAAAATAAAACCATTACAATTAGAAGAAAATCATTTAGAAGTAGTGCAAACAGATATGCTGATAACTACTTTATCATCCAGAGAGGTGTTTTACTGCACTGAATATCATGCATAAAAGGAAAAGGAAAAGACAAAAACAACGTTAGGTTGTTAAAAGGTAAAAAGATAAAATACTTTCATTAAAAAAAATATATTGGGCTGGGGGTGTAGTTCAGTGGTAAATCATGTACTTAGCATGCACAAGGCCCTAGGTTCAATCCTCAGCACCAAAAACAAAACAAAATCAGACATACCAGAAATAACAGTAGTCAAGCTTACATGACACAAAAATATTTACACAAATTTATTGACCTTATCTTTTCTCTTTTTTTTTTTTGTTTGTTTGTTTGTTTGATTTTATGGTGCTAGGGATTGAATCCAGGTCCTTTTACACACAAAACATGCTCTCTATCATTGAGCTACACCTCAGCCCCTTGCTGACTTTATCTAAACTATTTACAGACAGATTAAAAACCTAGAACAAGATAACAAAGTCTAAGCACTTTACAACATAATACGTATAAAGTCTTTAGGTATTTCATAACTCACTTAAGTATAAAGGCCCAAATTATATTATTGATAGAGGTCATGGGCAGTACTTTTTTATCTCACTTGGTAAACAAAAACTCAGCAGTGGCACATGAAACTTTCAAATTTTAAGACAAGCCCTGGATAAAAATTGAACTTGTAAATCTCAAGCAAAGTAAATCTGACATTTCATACACACCAACATATTAGTTTTTATTCATTGGTCCTCAATTTTCAAAATCAAGATGAAATATGGCAAACATGTATCAATACCTACAAATTCTGTAAGTTGCAAACTTTGGTTTCAGGTGTTAAAAAAACACAGAAATACTTTCACTCCCATCATGACAAATGTCTGACCTAAAACATAAGTTATAGACAGAAGCCGACCTGTACCTGTAGTTCATTGGGACAAACAATTCAAATATGTAATTCTACCCTATTTTGGCATCTACCTTTCTGTTACAGCATTTTAAATGCACTAAAACCATTTGTTTAAAGTGACACAGGTGTCGTATACCTTATGTAAAATGCTTAGGACTAGAAGTATTTTATATTTTAGAAGTTTTCTTTTATTTTGGAATACTTGCATAAACTATACCAGTTGAACATCTCTACTCTGAAAATCCAATATCCAAAATGCCCCGCGATTAGAGATGCTCAGTTTATAGAATCTCTAGGAAAGAAAAATGTCTCAGTTTTAGTATGTTTACATTATATCCGTTTACTTTCATTACAGTCCCATATGCTCTCTAGTAAACACAATGTTTTCATAACCACAACCAACAAGGCAATTACCAGCCCTCTTCTCTCTAGTCAAGGTACAAACCCCACCTAGGGAGAGAAAAATTTTCTCTGCAGCTACAGCAACTGGTGCCACAAGGAATCCAGGGCACTGTTGCACCTGCTCTCCCTGTGGCACTGTTGAACATTTGTAAGCAGAGAACTCTTAACTTTGACCCTTTTATTATGCCTTTTTCTAAAATCATGTATCCAACATGGACTTTATTTTCTTACCTTTTTGTTATTGTTGTTGTTTTGGTACCAGGGGACTGAACCCAGTGATACTTTATCACAGAACTATGTCCCAGCCCTTTTTATTTTTTATTTTGAGACTGGGAATTGCTAAATTGCTTAAGGCCTTGGTAAATTGCTGGGGCTGGCCTCAAACCTGCAATCCTCCCAAGGAGCTGGGATTACAGGTGCACTCCTGAGTCACCAGGATTACAGGTATATGCTACCATGCTGGCTCTATATAGACTTTTCATTATTGACTCTAAACAGCTGTACCTGACACCAACTTGTATACGGCTCAAAATGATGTCGGAGCTGTGAGATGCTTTCTTCAAGTTGAGTCCTTGGCTCCTCCACATATTTACATTGACCCTTGGGAGCCGAGTAGAGTGAAAGCTGCACACATTCAAACAAAAATAAAAAAGCATACACAGTAATGAGATCATGTAATAAATTATCAAATTTGTAGGTACAATATTTCTAATAATTTATAAATTACAATGACTCTGAGGGTTACATACAACCTAAAACTTTACTTCAGATGATCTTTGCACGTTATTTCCTTAATCATAAGGATAAGGACAAGGGGCTTGGGTTGTAGCTCAGTGGTAGAACACTTGCTTAGTATGTGTGAGGCACTGAGTTTGATCCTCAGCACTACATAAAAATAAATAAATAAAATAAAGGTATTATGTCCATCTACAACTAAAAAAAATAAGGATAAGGATAAAAGGGCAGAGCTACATGGTATCATATCCCTCCTCATCCACTGATGGAAAACAAAGCACTTTTCTTTCATCCATTTACACTGGTATCTGGTATTTCACCCCAGGTTTACTTTAGAAAAAGGAGTCTATCGCTCTAAAGAGTAGGTTGAGGGGTTGGGGTATAGCTCAGCGGTAGAGTGCTTGCCACATACGTGTGAGGCACTGCGTTCGATTTCCAGCACCACATATAAATAAGCGAATAAAATAAAGGTCTATCAATGACTAAAAAATATTTTAAAATAAAGAAGTAAAAATATAGTGTCTATCTACAACTAAAAAATAAATTATAAAAAAAGAATGGGTTGAGGAGGGGGTTTAAAAATGCTTGAGAGTAACTGAAGAATAACTGAATACATAGTTCAAATGATCAGTCTGGTGCTAATCAAAGGCGAGCAGGTTTGTTCCCCACCCAGAGAAGAATTTTCTTAGATACTACTGGCTGCCCTCTTCACTCTCAACAATGCTATTGTCCCAAAGCCTGAGAAAAGAGTAAAGGGCAAAAGATAAGCTAATTAGCTTTATATAAACACATTTCAAGTAGCCCTACAAGGGACTAAAGGTAAAACTGTACCTCAATTTATTCAAAGGAAACAGAAACTGAATATCCAAATAATCAGTGGGATCAGTGGGAAGTATAGACAAAAAAAGAATCTAAACAATGTAAAGAAGATTTCTTGTTTGATTATTTAATGCATACTAAGTATCTACTTAGGATTTTTACCAGCCAAGAAGCAGAGAGAATCAGATCTCTGATTTCTTTAAGAAAAATGTGAATATTTTCTTGGCTTGATCAAGCAGTCCAGAATCAGGAAGGCTGCTTAGAAAAGTGAGTTGCAGTTGGGCATGGTGGTACATGCCAGTACTCCAGTGGCTCCAGAGGCTGAGGCAGGAGGATTGCAAATTCAAAGTCAGACTGACCAATTTGGCAAGGCCCTAAGCAACTTAGTGAGACCTTGCCTTAAAATGAAAAATAAAAGAACTAGGGATGTGGCTCTGGGCTAAATTCAATCCCTAGTACCAAAAAACAAAAAACAAAAAAGTTAAGCTCTATTTATAATCTACTGGGACATGGCAGATTCCCCATTAAAAATTTATAAAATATTTCTTAATTTTACCCTTAGTTCATCTGTTAAAGTTCAATACCACCATTAAAGTTCATCTGTTGAAAAAGCCGCAGTTTACTAATTTCCCACAAAGAAAACAAACTGTAAGGAAATATATTTCTTTTTAGTTATATATGATAATAGAAATATATATTATGGCATAATTATAAAAGCATGGAATATAATTTCTTGTAATTCAGTCCCCAGTATTTCTTTCTTTCTTTCTTTGGTACTGGGGATTGAACTCAGGGGCACTGGATCACTGAGCCACATTCCCAGCCCAATTTCGTATTTTATTTAAAGACAGGTCTCACAATGGTGAGGTGCTAAGCGACTCAATTGGTTCCACAGCTTAACTATTGTGAATGGTGCTGGCTTTGAACTCTGGGAACTCTGGGATTACAGGCATGTGCCACCATGCCGGGCCAGTCCCCAGTATTTCCCCTTCCCCTCCCTTCCTTCCACCCCCTGTTGCCTTCTCTCTACTTTATTGATCCTCCTGCTATTTACTTATTTTTTTTAATTAGTATCTTATGGATGTATGTGATGATGAGGTTCACTGTGGTATATTTATGTATGTACATAGGAAAGTTCATTCCACTGACTTTCTCTATCGCATCTCTCCTCCCTTCCTTTCATTGCCCTTTGTTTACTCCTCTGATCTTTCTTCTATTCTTTTTTTTTCACATCCCTCCCCACCCTTATTTAGGATTAGCTTCCACATATCAGAGAAAATATTTGGCTTTTGATTTTGGGGGGACTGGCTTATTTCCATTACCATGATAGTCTCCTGTTCCATTCATGTACCAACAAATGCCATAAAGTCAGTCTTCTTTATGGCTGAATAATACTCATTATACGTGTGTGTGTATGTGTGTGTGTGTGTGTGTGTGTGTATCACATTTTCTTTATCCATTCATCTGTTGAAGGGCACCTAGGTTGGTTCCACAGCTTAACTATTGTGAATTGTGCTGCTATAAACATTGATGTGGCTGCATCACTGTAGTAAACTGATTTTATTTTTAAAATTTTTTGCAGATGGACAGAATACTTTTACTTTATTTTTATATACTGTTGAGAAGCCAGTGCCTCACACTTGCTAGGCAAGTATTCTGCCACTGAGCTACAGCCCTAGCCTAGTATGCTGATTTAAAATCCTCTGGATATATACCAAGGAGTGGGATAGCTAGGTCCTATGGTGGTTTCATTTTTAGATTTTTTAGGAATCTCTATACTGCTTTCCATAGAGGTTATATTAATTTGTAGTGCCACCAACAATGTATGAGTGTACCCTCCTCCTCACATCCTTGCTAACATTGTTACTTGTATTATTGATAATTGCCTTTCTGATTGGAAATGAAATCTCATGTAGTTTTAATCTGCATTTAATTGCTGGAGATGTTGAACTTTTTTTTTTAATATATCTGTTGACCCTTTGTATTTCTCCTTTTGAGAAGTGTCTGTTTAGTTCCTTGAAAATCTTTGCCACTGCTAATCAGGGCATTAATATCCAGAATATACAAAGAGCTCAAAAAACTTAACACCAAATGAAAAACACAAATAATCCTTTTAAATATCTTCTAACTGTGCTGGGGTATAGCTTAGTGGTAGAGTGCTTACCTAGAATGCACAAGGCCACAGCACTGCAAAAATAAAAAATTAAAATAATTATCTTCTAACTATCCTCCTGATATACAATTTGTAAAATCTCTTCTACAGTAACTAAGTCAGATGTCCAAAATATATCACTGCATGAACAGCATGTTACCTCATCAACTTTCATAGAATTTTTGTGAGGCGCATCCTTTTTTGGTGCTGCATAGACTCTGAAGGTGAGCAGGCTCAGGCTGGCTGGCCCCACGGACCTCTGAATTACCTGAAATGCAGAAGCAATTTTCAGCCTTCTATCCATGCTACAAACCAAATACGTACAACATGACATATTCATAAGCTCAGCCACTCCTGCCCTGAAAGACACATACAAGCACTCCATGAGAAGTAAATGTATTCCTGAAGTTCTGAGGAAGTCAGAACCCAAAATACATTTTTTCACAGACATAAAATTTCAGCTCAGCTTTATCTTGATTTTTCACAAGACAATAGTTTTTAAGTTTCTCTACCTAGGCTTTCCAGTAAAAAGTTAAAAAGATATAGCTAGATAAATAGATATTGAATCTTTGGAACATGTTCAAAACCAACTCATCATCTTTCCCTAAGACCTGCCCTTCTTTCTCCATTTCCTCTCTCAGGAATTGTGACAACCTCATCAGAAACTCTGAAGTTAGCAATTTTCAAAAATGTAATACATTGTTATTAACTATGTTAGTCAATAGACACTATGTTGTACAATATAGCTCTCAAACTTATTCTTCCTGTGTCTAACAGAAATTTCTTATTCTTTGACCAACATCTCTTCAATGCCCTCCCCCAACCCTCCCAGCCCCAGCAGACCTTTCTAATATCTGCTTCTATTAGTTCAACATTTTCAGATTTCATAAAAAAGGTAAATACATGAAGAAACATGTTAATTACCTTGATTTAGCCATTCCATAATGTACACATATTGCAAAACATCAAATTTAGTACACAATAAATGATTTTTATTTTCCCATGTATAATTAATTGATCAACAATTTAAAAAGGAAATTCTGAGGTCATCTTCACCACCACCCTCATCCTATGGATCACTAAATCCTGCCATTCTGCCTATTAAATAATCTCAGTGCTACTTTTTCCTATGTATCCCTTCCTATACAATCTTTCCTTGGACCCTCATTTCTTTCCTGGATTATTTTAGCAGCATCCTTAACTGGTCACTGGCCCTCTAAGGATTAAAACCACCAAACAAGAAAGAATGATTTTTCTTTTTTTTTTAAATAATGATTTTTCTAAATGACAAACTTGATTTTGTTCTATAATCAATAAAGACCTTAAAGCCAAAAGAAAAATGGTTATTACTTTCAATGGTATAAAAACAATTAACCCACTCTGAAGTATTAAGTGTTCATGTTGAAAGGTCTTAACTTCAATTAAGATCTTTTGGTATTTATTACCTTGGACTTGTACATCAACCAAAAAGTCTTGTTATGACTGACCACAGCCGCCTTCTCTAACCTCATCTGTCACTCCACCCTTGCCCACAAAACCTGAACTCCCTATATTTCTCTCATGCTGCTTTCCAGCTTCATGGGTTCACGCATGCTGATTCCTCTAAAAATTCCTCTACCTGCTTTGTCTTTCGGTAGAATTGCCTAAGAGCAGGGAGAATGCATGTTTTTATTTTATTTTTTATTTACCCATTTACTTACGTCTATTAAATTCTCCCTACCACACTGGAATCACTTTCAGGATGAGACTGTGTCTTAAATATTGCTATGGCAGTACCTGGTACATAAGAGAGACTATTCACTGCCTGCCTCAATGAGAAACAGAAAGAGGTTAAAAAAAAAAGAGTAGTTGTCTTGTTCTATCTAGTTAGGCATGACTTAGCATAAAAGAAATTATATTACTAAGATTTTCAGTGCCTACAATGTGAAAGATGAGACTATTCTGTAATACAAAATATACAATGCTAGATAATATATAACAAAAATGTCTCTTGAAACACACACCTAAAGTCATGTACACACAAAAAATAAATTCTCATATTTCAGAAAAAAGAGCTGAAAGCCATAAAGAAAAATGGTTATTACCTTAAATGGTATAAAAACAATTAACATACCCTGAAGTATTAAGTGTTCCTGTTCAAAGGTCTTAATTTCAAGACAATGTTCCTACAGATTTCTTTTGCTTCTGCTGATATTGGTCACTGTGGTTTGTGTGTATCACAATTATTCAGCAGGACCAGCAATACTTGATCCAACCTAAGGAAATCAATACCCCTCCTAGAAAATTGCTAAGACTTTCAAAAGGGTCTGGTTTTTAAAAATTCAGTTTTGATTAATCAACATGTAGCTCTTTACCCACCCCTGGCCTCTTTTAAAGAGGACAGGTCATCTGATGCTTGAGTCACCCAAGAGTTCTAAGCAGTTTCCATGGAGTCCCTCCTGAGCCTGAAGTAAAGGCACATAGGCTGCTGGTATCTGGAGACATGAATCCATTGCTTTCTGCCTTCTGTGTCTGGTTGCTTGAACTGGGGACTTTGCATGGTATTGAGCTGGCCCCACCTCAGGACTTTGTTTCCCACCCTCCCCCTATCTGCTCTAGCTGCTGCATCCCTCCTTACTCCCCCATCTAGCACTTGTACCTCAAATCACTAGGCAGCTTGGATCCGCAGTGTCCCATCTTGTCCTTGTTTCATATCTTGCCTCAGGTTGACCTTTTTCATTCTCAATTGCTGTGTTCAAACCTTACTTTTCACATGTTATATTTGCCTTCTCATGGTCTACCTCTTCAGTGCTCTTTCCATTTTTATGTTCTTTTTTTCCCCTCAGTGCCAGGGATAGAACTCAGGGTCTTGTACATCCTAAGCAAACATTACTACTGAGCTACACCCAACTCTCACTTTTATGTTCTATTTTGGTACCAGGGATTGAACCCAGGGGCACTTAGCCATGGAACCACCTCCTCCAGCCTTTATTATATATTTTATTTAAAGACAGGGTCTCACTAATTTGCTTAGGGCCTTGCTAAATTGCTGAGACTGTCTTTGAACTCAAAGTTCTCTTGACTCAGCGTCCCAAGTGCTGGGATTACAGGCATGCGCCACAGCGCCCAGCTAACTTTTAAGTTCTTAATGAACATTCTCATTCACATCTTTGATTTTAAAGCTCAACTCATTTGCCTTTTTTTGAGACAGGATCTCACTAAGCTGACATAGCTGGCCTTAAACCTGTGATCCTCCTGCCTCAGCCTCCCTAGTTGCTAAAATAACAGGTATGTGCCACCGCAATTGGCTTCATTTACATTTTTAATATTAAATTTTTAAACTATTAATTTCTACTGTATTTTCTCCCTTATCTTACTCATTTTTCTAGATTTAATATTATTCTAAATCTGCCCCCTCCCGTTACTGCCTAAGTTGTTTTCTTGTTTCTTTTCTCCTATTAGTTTTCCTCCCAAGATGCCCAACTCCCATCCCACATCAAGTGTAACCACAGAGTGGTAGCATGGAAGAAATCAGCCCCTGTAGCGTCCGTCTTAGCTTTAACAGGCTCTTGACAGATTAAAAAAAAAAAAAAAAGAGGAAAAGCAAACCTCAACTGGAAGACTTAAGAGATCCACAGATGCTCTCTCCATAAAGAGCACATAATTTACTCAGGCTTTTTCAACTTCAGCACTATTAACATTTGGGCTAGATCATTCTTTGTTGTGGGGCTGTCCTGTGCGCTGTAGGTATGGCCACATCCCTGGCCTCTGCCCATTGGATGCCAGTGGTACCCCTCCCAGTCACAACAGTCAAAAATGTCTCTAGACATTGCCAAATGCCTCCTGGGGAGACACCCCCACATTAAGAACCACTGGTTTATTTGAATAAACATTAACTTCTGACATCTCTCATCATCCAGACTTAAGGAAAATATCCATGTTTTAACTCATGGCCTTAAATCTAACACACATAGTGAAAAGCAGAATAGTCTCCACTCAGAGATGAAAGGGAGTGAACTCAGAAGGGAATATTCTGTAGTGAAAGAAATGAACTATATCTTAATTGGGGTACGGGTCACACAAAATGTATGCTTTTGTCAAAACTCAAATTGTATATCTAATATTGTACAATCTTAAATCTGTGAATGTAAACTTCATTTTAAAAATATATAGCTTCCAGCACACCTCATCCATGCTAAGTTCATGCCAAGATAAAGATAGGAACTTTAGGCCAAGGATTATTCTTAAGGAGTCAGCCACACACCCAACCATAGTAAGGAACCAGGTAGTACTGCCCCATGTGATGTATGGAAACCCATAGAAGCCTCAGTAAAAAGTTCATTGATGCTGATGTACTCAACACCTTGGGGGGTCACCCCCAAGGGGGGTTTTCTTGGTGGGAGACTATTCTACCCTGCCTCTGCATATGTCCACCTTCCCTACTCTAGATTTGATGAGTCTGGTTTGGAGATCAAAGCCACACCTACTCTGTTAAGAGCTGCATCTTTCATGAGTGCTAGGTTATAGACTAGATCCAAAGGCTGTGTTTCTATAGATCCAACCCCTCTGGACTACACCCTTCAGTTACTAGTTGACTCTTGGGATTCAGATGGTGGTGGCAGGGGTCACAAAGGATGGTCCCCAATGTGCTGGTTTGTCTGAGTTTTTGAATATAGTTATGAGATCCACAGTCATAAGGAAAACTGAAATTTGGCTCAGATAGAGTTAATGACCCTCAGCTCTGCAAAACTCAGGAATGTCACTGAATTTCTTGGCTCAATGTGACTAAATCTTTCTTTTTAGTGTGATTCTATTCCCCAGCAAGATATCACTCTATCAAAGTACATTCTCTACCTTAGACTCTATCTTTCAACATTTGTTTTATTCAGCCCACAGGCACCTTAATTGTCAATGGAAACTGAGCAACAAGTTTGGCTTTTGATTAGTTGTAGCCCTAACATTTGCTATAAAGGGGTAGGCTGCCATTATCTTAAAAGCACTCATTTGCTTCTTTCACTCCACTGAAGCTTGGCAAGGACTGATGACTGCAAAACAAATCTAGCCAGGTAAGCGGTGTTATATATAACAATTACAAGAGGTCAACTGGAATTTCATTTCAAAAACAAATGCTCAATGCACACCTACTCCATGTCAGGCAAACTAAGTATATGCAATCCCTGCTTTACAGAGCTTTCAGGAAGCTTGAGTTTATTAAAAAAGACTCAATTAGTATTCTAAAAAGACTCTGGCATACTTGAGTTTATCCTTCAGCTCCAGCAGCAAGGGTGG